TGTTCGGACTTAACTAACTTATAAGAAACTAGCGCATTGGAACAACATAAAAGATTTTCGCAAACAGTGTGCAGACTTAACTAACTTATGAGAAACTAACGCATTGGAAAAACATAAACGATTTTGAATCAAACTTGGAAAACGTTCGCAGCTGTTAACAATAACGAGGGCACAAACCCAAACCGAAAATAATCTTTGATTCTATCACAGGAAGGAACCTTCGTTAACGGTAGCATGAACTTAATCTATATCTACGTCTATCGGTAATATCGCTAGTTTGGACAAGGGTCTTGTTAATGACCCCTTGGCCGTACGGACGGTAGCGGCGCGCGTGACGCCATCGGAACCGGTGTGCACTTCCTGCACTCTACCTAGGAGCCACTGTAACGGAGCCAAGCCCTGTTGTCGAATGAGCACCAGTTGTTTCGGTTTCAACTGTATGCCCTTATTGAGTCTCCATTTGGTTCGCTCCTGCAGGTAGTGGAGATATTCATTACTCCATCTTTGCCAAAAATGCTGGCGTATTTGCTCCACTCTCTGCCAGCGCGTTAGCCGGTTCTCATTTATGTCATGCACATTGTGGCAAAGAATGCTGTTGAGCGGGGCACCGATTAGAAAATGGCCTGGACTAAGATATGCCAAGTCGTTTGAATCAGAGCTCAGCTGCGTGAGCGACCGAGAAGTGAGAATTGCCTCCACCTCGCACAGCACTGTCGACATTTCTTCGAATGTCAAATGGGCCTTACCGATGATTCGCGACATGTGGTACTTGGCTGACTTTACAGCGGCTTCCCATAGGCCGCCAAAATGCGGCGCGTTCGGGGGAATGAAATTCCATGTCGTTTGTTGTTCGCGAAGGAATTGCTGTACCTCACTCTGCGTTTGAGTATCGCTCAGGAGTTCATAGAATTCCTTAAGCTGCTTGTAGGCCCCGACGAAGGCGGTGCCATTGTCGGAATATATACAAGGGCTTGCCTCTTCGGGAAATTAAACGCCGCAACGCCGCCACGAAACTCTCGGAGGTTAAATCGCTCACCAATTCGATGTGAACACCTTTCGTTGCAAAACATACGAAAATCGAAATGTACGCCTTGTGGTTGCGGGCGTTGCGTCGTTTTCCTTCCCTTAAAATGATCGGGCCGGCGTAATCCACGCCACACTGCGAGAATGGCCTTGATACGGTGACGCGGCTGCTCGGCAACGAGCCCATTAAAGCCTCCGACTGAATCGGACTGGCCTTGAAGCATATCACACAATTTCTAACAATTTTTCGCACGGCGGAACGAAGAGAAAGTGGCCAAAAACGCTGTCTGACAGCGGCCATAGTGGCTTGTGCTCCCGCATGCAGGCTGCGCACGTGCTCTTGGCTTATTACGCGTTTCTTTAGTTCATGCTCACGCGGAAGCAATATGGGATGACACGCATCGAATTGCAAACCGGAATTTTTTAATCTCCCCCCTACACGAATTAATCCGTCCTTATCGAGGAAGGGAGCTAGAGGCAGTAGTCTACTAGATGCGCTGATGGTTCCATTCTTGCTTAGCTGGTTGTATTCGTTGGGGAAAGCTGCCTTCTGCACCTCTCTACACGCGACTTCGAGGGCGTAAGTTACCTCGCCGTGTGAGACGAATTTCGTCGGTGCGCTCGATCGATGCCTCTGGCGCCATCGGAGGCAATACGCCAGGATGCGGCATACCTTGTTAAGGTTGGAATGTTTTTCCAGTAATTCGTTGATGATCGAACAGTCGGCGATGAGGACGACCGCTACTGTTCTTCGCTCTTCGGGAACCTCGCCCCCCAGGCGGGTGAAGTCTCCGCTTGGCCAGCAATTCTTGTGAGATTGCAGGAATGCAGGGCCGTGCCACCACAAGCCCGCGTCCCCTAGCTCACATGGGTAGAGTCCGCGCGACAAGATGTCGGCCGGGTTGTCGGCTGAGGCAATGTGCCGCCAGTCCCTTACTTCGGTTATACGTTGTATCTCCCCAATCCGGTTGGCTACAAATACCTCCCACCTTCTGGAAGATGAATTTATCCAATTTAGTGTAATCGTGGAGTCTGACCACAGGAAGATTTCCATGTTGGCTAGATCACATGATGCGCGAACCTTTTCCAGTAGACGCGATAGCAACAATGCCGCCGATAGCTCTAACCTTGGCAGCGATATCGCTTTCAACGGTGCAACGCGCGATTTGGAACATAGCAATTCGGTGCGGTATTGGCCGTCGTCTTGTTTGGTTCTTACGTACAAACAGGCTCCGTACGCCCGCTGGCTGGCGTCGGCGAACCCGTGTATTTCCACGCGTTGTGGATTCGTGGAGAATTTCACACACCGAGGAACCCGCAATTTCCTTAAGTCGGTTAACTGTCGCTCAAACCTTGACCAGCGCGTGTGAATATCTTGCGGCACCGATTCATCCCAATGGCTCCCTGCCTGCCACAGTTCCTGGAGGATGAGTTTCGCTGTGACGATGATAGGACCGAGGAGTCCGAGAGGGTCAAACAGTCTGGCGACACCCAACAATATCGTACGCTTCGAGATATTGTCTTGACCTTCGGCAGCGTTGTGTGAGATTAGAAAGGTATCCTCGACTTGATCCCAGTTCATTCCCAAGATGTGGGAAGTTGCGTTATCGTCGATTGTGATCGGCCCTTGATCCTGACTCGCGCTGTCCTTTATTAACTCCGGGCAGTTTGAAGCCCACTTGCTGAGCTCAAAGCATCCTAGCCGCAATAGTTGAATGACTTCCACCCGAATTAGCTTGGCCTCGCAGAGCGTGTCCGCTCCCGTCAGTAGATCGTCTACGTAAAAGTCTCGCTTGACGATCTTCGATCCCAACGAATACTCAGCCTCGTGTTGCTCTGCCAAGTGTTTGAGGCACCTCGTTGCCAGGTACGAGGCCGAGGCGGTACCGTAGGTGACGGTGAGCAGCTCGTACGTCTTGATGTCCGAGTTTGTGTCGCCTCGCCACAAGATTCGCTGAAGTGACGTCTGCGACGGGTCGACCCAAATTTGCCGGTACATTTTTATTATGTCGGCAGAAAAAACGTACCGGAAAGTGCGGAAGCGCATTAAAATGGACATCAAGTCCTGCTGGACGACGGGCCCTACCATGAGCGCGTCGTTTAAAGATACTCCCGTGGTCGTTTTGCAGGAAGCATCGAATACAACTCGTAGTTTCGATGACGTCGATGTGGTCTTGAACACGCAATGATGTGGCAAGTAAACGGATCCCCTTTCGTCAGGTTGCGGGGAAACCAATTTCATGTGGCCAAGTGCAGCGTACTCGTCGATGAATTTTTCATAGCGTGGCTTCAAAGATGGTTCGCGCTTGAACCGCTTCTCGAGTGACTGCAATCGTTTCCGCGCAGTGCCTTCAGACTCGCCGAGCTTAGCGATTGTTTGTTCCTTGACAGGAAGTTTTACCACGTATCTGCCGCTGGTGGCTTGGGTCACGCTTTCTAGGAAGTGCTTCTCGTCGATGCTATAGTTGATTGGCTGGTTGGCAACGTCCTCCTGGCGCCAAAACCCGCTCAACTGCTCGTGAAGCTGCGCGTTGGTCACCGTTGCGTGAAACGATCTAATTGTTTCCGGTGGCCCGGGCGGATTGCCCAATCGACCCGCCAGGATCCATCCCAGCCGTGTCTTCTGTAAGGTCGGGTGTGTTTGCGACGCCTTGATCTGCCCTACGCATATTAAATCCCAAAACAGATCCGCTCCGATGAGAACGTCGACGTTAGCTGACACGTGGAATTGGGGATCGGCGAGCTGTAAATTGCGTGGAAGGTTAAGAGCGGTCCGCTTGAACGTGAAAGACGGGAGTCTAACGTAACCCGATCCGTGACGATGCATTCTATATCGAAGGAGAATGCGTTCGTGCGTGATTGCATTTTCAACCGGGCGGTTTGCGTGGATTTGGTAGTCGAGCCATTTATGCCAGAGATGGAAATGTCTACGGCGCGTGGTGTGATGCCGAGCATGGACAGGAACTTCCTCGATACGAAGTTCGCCTGTGAGCCGCAATCCAGCAATGCGCGGCACGGCACTAACGAATTCTTATGATCCTGGACGTGTACGACGGCCGTTGAAAGCATGGCATACTTGCCGTCGAGGGGGCACGATAAGTGCATGGCTAGCGCAGTAGGTGATACCGTTGAGCCTGATTTCTCTGTCGCCTCTTGATTGGAATCGGTCGTCTCGCTGGACGTGGTCGTGTGCAGCAACGTATTGTGTTTAGCCTTGCACACCCTGCACGCGCCCGCAGTGCACTTATTTGCTGTATGCGACGTAGACCGCAGACAATTGAGGCAAACCTTTAACTTGCGAATTTCGGCATTTCTACGTGAAATACTGAGGTCAAGAAACTTTTTGCAGTGATACACCGAATGATCACCCTTGCAGAAGCTACATTTGAATTTCAACGTCGCCGCGCACGCAGCCTGGCGCTTCCCATTTGCTGAAGCACGAGCGTTGGCGATCTTCGCGCCCGCGACATTAGCCTTGCCGGTGGCCTCGAGAACCTGACATCGATGCGCGATAAACTCGACTTGTTTTTTGAAGGTCGGGATATCGGATCCCGTTAATGACGCTTGCCATTCTCGCAGTGTGAGCGCGTCAAGTTTTGAACCCACGATAAATACAAGTAAATCGTCCCATTGCTCGATGGGGCGATTCAGCGCTCGAAGAGCGTTCAAGTGCTTGGACGCACCGTCCGCGATTTGTCGCAGCTCGGTGGCGTTCTCCTTGTGCATGGAGGGTAACTCCATTATCGCTTTGACGTGGGTGTGTACGATGACTCGTTTGTTGTCATAACGCTCCTTGAGCAATTTTCATGCGACTTCGTAATTGACATCCGATATTTCCAATGAATTGATAATATCGCTCGCGTCCCCGGTAATCGAGGATCGCAAGTATTGCAATTTCTGAACTTTAGTTAACGATGCGTTCGAATGGATGATTGAGTTGAATGCGTCGAAGAAGTGGAACCAGTCATCGTACTTCCCACCGAAAGTCGGAAGGCTCAGCTTGGGGAGTCGCACGTACGTAGCCGCTTCTGGAATTCCCGAGACGTTCGACGTCGACGGAAAAGGCGTAGTGTCAATGCGCGACGTGGTAAGCGGTGGATCCACGAGTTCTCGAATTTTAGCCGACAGACTATAAAAGGCCTCCTCGAAGCCCCCGCGATCGCCATTCTCGGTATCGTCTATCATCTCCAATTTACATTGCACCGCATTGTAATCTAACCAACATTGATCTAGTTTGGATCGGCGTTCCGCGAGCTGAGCCCTGACCGACGGCGTGACAGATTCAATTTTCTCCACAAACGTCTTAACACGCGTGCACGATCCCTTAATGATAGCGCGCTGCTTCTTCAACGTGACCGGATCCTCTTCGGAGGACATCTTGAACGCGACGGCGCAAAATGGACGGGATGCGACGAATTACGGTTCGGCACGGCGTACCTGACGGACGGAACGCGACGAATTACGGTTCGGCACGACGTACCTGACAGACGGGACGCGACGAATTACGGATCGGCACGGCGTACCCGACGGACGGCTGAGAATGCGCGATATTGATGGGCTAACCTCGTTGAGTTTCGGTCGTCAATCCCCTGGCACGGCTGGGCGGGGCGGCGGACGACGTTCGGTGGGTCCCTCGGCGCGGCAAGATGGCGGATAAAGGTCGGTCCGCGTCCTCTGGCTCGGCTGGGCTGAACGGCAGACAATGCTCGAGTCGTGGCCTCCCGGCACGAATGGGCGGGACGGCCGGCGATGGTCAATCCGTGGCCCCCTGGCACGACTGGGCCGGACGGCCGGCGACACTCGTTTCGTGGCCTCCTGGCACGACTGGGCCGGATGGCGGGCGATGCTCGATTCGTGGCCTCCCGGCGCGACTGGGCCGGATGGCGGGCGATGCTCGAGTCGTGGCCTCCCGGCACGACTGGGCGGGACGGCCGGCGATGGTCAATCCGTGGCCCCCTGGCACGACTGGGCCGGATGGCGGGCGACGGTCGATTCGTGGCCTCCTGGCACGACTGGGCCGGATGGCGGGCGATGGTCGATTCGTGGCCTCCTAGCACGACTGGGCAGGACGGCCGGCGACACTCGTTTCGTGGCCTCCTGGCACGACTGGGCAGGCACGGACGGCCGGCGACGATGTAGCTGTGTCTCCTTCTCTCTAACGGGGTCTTGCGCCTCGTTTCGTCGGCAGCGTGCGGTCTCGAGTGATGACCGTTGCCTTCGCGTACCGACCTGGGTTACTTGTGTGACCGTGTGCGTGGTTACCTGGTGGCGGGTGTCTCATATCCGGCTCGAAGGACCATGTTTCTTGCAGGCCTTGTGGCCTCCACGCAGGTAATCTCTGGTCTCGTCTCAGAGATCGGGCGTGGTCGAGTAAGGCGATTGACTTGCTCGGATTTTAGTTTAATAAGTTTTATTGAGATATCGTGGCGATAACACAAAGAAGATACGCTCGATCCGCTCGCACGCATGAACGCACGCACACACTCTCAGAGACACTCTTGTACTCACTGGTAACGACTAGCGTGCGACTGTCTGCCTGCTGTACGTTGCCGTCGCGGTGGAGGGGCAACGAACTCATTCGCCAATGGCTTGCCACGCGGTACGCGAGGGAACCGATACGATTGGCGGAGACGCTTTCTCTGATAGCGCTCGGGAGATCCCGGGAAGAATCGCGCGCGGGAAATATAAATGACGCGGGAAACAAAGTTACGATACAATCTTCTTTTACTTTATTTAATTTTTCTCTAATAAGGCAGAAAAGTAGAAAGGAGAAAGATTGTATTTATTTTGCTGCGACCGATAAGTGTAAGTGTGAAAAGTTCTTTTCACCGATAAGTGTAAGTGTAAAAAATTAAATAAAGTAAAAGAAGATAATGACCGCAACAGTGTTAACGTTGAAGTACAATAGAGTCCCGTTTATCCGAGTTAATGTGGATCAGGACCATCTCGGAAAATCAACTCGGATAAACTGGAAAGGAAAAATAAAAAGTAACAAAACGCTGGACGCTTATCTAAGCATGGACTGTGTTCGGAAACATCACTCGAATGCCTTTATGTATCATTTCACATTCGGTGAATAAGAATGAAATAATACATAGGACATTTCGATGGTGTTTTCGAATGCAGCCCTGAGACGAAGTGCCTCGCGTTTTGTTGATGAGTCCATCGTCTAGTTGCTAAAACATGCGCGGTAAGAGGATAACAGTTCTGATTAAAAAATACTTTCAATCCATTTTTGCATAAAGATATTATTAAAACGTTTTTATTAATATTAAAATTGATAATTAAAAGAATTCTTGGAGATTTAAAATTTTATTTTTGATAGTGAAAAAAATTAACTTAAAAAATCATCTTGGTCAAATCGGAACTCGGATGACGGCGGAACGGGGGGCACTGTCATGACAGTTATTTCATTTT